TATAGGTGTCTACTCAGCCATTCTGCTGGTCTTCCCCTGGACAGAACTGAATTTTTATTTTTCCAAGTAATTTTTAAAAAGTTCATCTTAATTGAGCTCATGCCCATGCTAATACTTCAGCTTCACTGTTTCTTTGACTCATTTGAAAATGGAAATCACATAGTGTCTCATGGTTTTAATTCATCTATCTACAGGGGAAATTAAAACCCCCAAACCCCACAAAACAACGAGCCATCTGGGGTAAAGTCAAGCAGTGGAAAATCAGTGTTCTGAGAATTATTATATCTTAAGCACAAATACAAGACATAATTTTATGAAGATGGTCATAAATAACCAAAACATATTCATACATTCATCCTTCCTCTTTCTCACAACTAAATCCCAAATCAAGGGGCTTTAGGCATTTCCTATTCAGGTACAGTTGAAATAGAAGGTTGTTCATGTGGTGGTGAGTATATTTTAAAATGATACACTCTCTAGAGCTAAATCCACAGAAGATTCTATTACTGTGTCCCCACCCTCATTCTGGATGTAGCGCAGAAGTATGAGAGACTGAAATCCCTGCAGCTGTGGCTCCTGGGCTGAGAGACCCCCAGGCTGCCAGTAGAGTAGATTTTCCTCCATGCAGTGGAGAAAATCTCAAAGCAGAGTGGTTACCCAGGCACAGATCTGTTCTGACTGGATAACAAGAGGGACTATGATGTGGACTTGGCTGTTTAGATTAAAATGCATCACAGGCTCTGGGAACAAGCACACATCAGTAGTAAAGGCTGTTTAAACCTTTGGGGACAGCCCTATGTTTAGATTACATTAATTCATAAATATTATACTAAATACCACTTAAATTGGACTATTGGACTTAAATGACTTCAAAGATAATGCCTTATAATATGGCTATCCAGAGAGCACTAGTCTTTATGTCTCCCAGTAACTCAGTCTTTGCTGCCTCCTATCCAGCTAGACAGGACCAAAGTTATGAATGGATTGCTGATTTCTTCATGTGTGATCCACTGCGTATGAGAGTGTTAGCGAGCATGGGTATGTGTGCATATGTGTCTTCACTCACTGCCTCTTTTTGTTCTACAGGTAATGTAAAGAAGAAAAGAGAAATAAATTGAAAATGAGAGAAAGGAAGAATTAGACTACTGGGTGACCTGCTCCCTTCTCCAATGGAGAAAGATTCTACAAGAAGGGGCAAAATTAGTCCTCAGCTCAGTTCTGCTGCTACCCAAGGAATTCCTCTCTTTTCTCTTTAATCAATAGTACAATGTCTTTCTCTTCGGAGCCTGGAAAAACAATCTTTTCCAAAGTGATTCGAATGGGAGAGAAAAGACTGAGTTGGTTGGGAGAGTTCGCATTAAACTCGGTTTTCTTCCTTGGGTGTTGTTTCTTTGAATTTTCATTCTGGGTTTTTTTTCTTCCCGTCTCTCTCTCCCTAGCACCCAGATACCCCTCTCTCCAATTGCTTTCTGGCCTCCAGGGGGTAAATTTACCTTTAAAGTAATCATCCCAGTCCACAGCTGCTCTTTGCTGCCTCCCCAGCCCAAAGCCTTTCTCTGATATGGCTGGGTTTGCTCCACAACACCCACCCACTCCCTCCTCCACAGACTCCCAATTTGACTGGAGTAATTGCCTTTTAAGGTGCAGTCTACGCAGGGCAGGTGTTCCATTAACCCTTAGAACTCCTTCTTTCTTTAGATACCTGAAATGGCAGGTGGCCAACAAATGGAGACCCACCTGAAATCTCATGTGTTTAATTTAGTTTGCTTTTTTTTAAAGGATGTTTAGGGTCAGCATATATATATATATATATATATATATATATATATATATATATATATATAGAGAGAGAGAGAGAGAGAGAGAGAGAACTTTAGGTTCTGGGGTACATGTGTAGATCATGCAGGATTGTTGCATAGGTACACACATGGCAATGTGGTTTGCTACCTCCATCCCCCTCCCCCATCACCTACATCTGGCATTTCTCCCCATGTTATTTTACTTCTTTTTCTTTTCCTTCTTTCCTTCTTTCTTTCTTTCTTTTTTTTTTTTGCCGGTAACATACACATGACATCCAACAAACTGGAGGCCAGTGTTCTGTGTCTCTCAATTTTATCCCATACGATTAATTAGAAGTTCGAAATTCAAGAAGGGGAGAACAAGAGCCACAAATATGCCCTGAAACCAGGCTTAACAAAGGCATGATTCTATCTCTAGCCTTATGTTGTCAATTTAGAGATGGGGAAATCTAGAAACAAAATGCAACCCTCATTCCTCAAGCCTCATCATGCTTTTTGACTTAACAGTAATTAATCACCAATGGCAAGCGAGAGTAATTTTTTAAGGTGGCCGGAGGCTTATTTTATCAGGATTAGCTAATAAATCAGGCTGCATCACTGAAGGAGTTGAAACTCTTCTAGGACTGAATAAACCAGACCTTGGAAACTGTCTTATATATTCAGCTCTCTGAGAGCTTCCAAGAACTGTTAGGGACATTGTGGCCCAACCTCAATTAAAAAAAAATCAGAAGGATGGAGAGCTAGGAAGTTTCACTGAGAAAAATATATGCTCGGGCTCCAAAGGGTGAGCTGCGACAATGAGGAATCCAGTATGCCGGAGCCACCGGGCCTGCTTGCCACTGACTGAGACAGTTTAGGGGAGAAATTATTTAGAAAATGAAGTTTTGTTTGTTCTAGGAATTCTGGCCAGAGGGACACATATGTAATATATGTATTATCTATATATATTTTATAGATATAATCATAACCTTCTCTACTTCCCTATTGCAAATGATGAAAATTCTACTTCTTTGCTATTATATGAGAGAGTTCAAATTACATCAAAAGCAAAGTGATGATATCAGGGATTGTAGAAAAGAAACCAAGGAATATCGTTAAAGTTTATCTTCATTTGAAATGAAGAAGCAAGTAAAGTGCTTTAATCCAGATTCCATATGAAGCCCAGCTCCTCACAACTGTCTTTTGCCTTTAGTGGGTTCTAATTTTTTTAACTTTAAAATCTTAAATCACCACAAAAACTGATCATTAAGATGGGCAAAAGACTTCCCTACCTATGCTTTCAAAATTTTTATTATTACTATTTGAAAAAATGAGGACATTCAGAATAACAAAGGTTTGATACAAACCTTGATTAGCTTCTAGGAAGCTTGATTGGAAGGGGGAAAACTACAAAGATATGGTTGACTTGAGAGGGAAGGGGGAAAAAGAAAGTGTTCTCTTTTTTTCTTCGAATATCATTTTGAAGGCTTCCTCTCCATTCCACCTTTCCAATCTATCTTTTGAACAGACAGACATTTTCTCCATATTGGATAAAGGTTGGTTTCTCTCTCCATTACAGCCCCCACCCTCACCCCACCCCAACAAACCCAGTATATTTCCATTCTGCTGTGTTTTTGTGCTACTCAACATGCCATTAACTTTAAGATTTACTCCTCAGCAGGCAAGCTGGAAGATGCTAAAGCCAATAAAAACTGCTCTCTGGGACTCCAACTATGAAGAGTTTGGAGCTCTGTTTAGTATTCGAACGAAGGGAGGGCTGGAGAAAGAGGGTGGTTGTGATAGTGAAAATCGCTGCTGCTTAGAGAGCCAGACAGCTCCGCGCTCTGCACCTAATGTGCTGGAGGATCAGCTGTGTCCATAGCTCATTTGTGGCCAAGGATGAGGCTGCTCTCTATGTGGGGGTGGGTGTGCGTGTGTGTTTTCATCTTTAAAACCACCAGCTGTAACAGCATCTTCGGCGGCTCTCCACGCTACTGTTTATTAAAAACGGAACATCCATACACATCCCCTACAACTTCCTTAGCCCCGTGCTCCTTCCCTGTCTGGCGATCAATCTCTCTCAGAAAGCATTTAACTTGCCCACATAGCTTCAGCACCGATTTATCCCCGCTGCACAGCCTATACATTACTGTTAGGAAGCGGAGCACTGGGCTAATTTCGTCACCCACCAGCCACCCACACACATTCTACAACTGAACACGTTTGGGGATCTGCTTTAAAGATAATAAAACAAGGAGAAAACAGCCAGGCTGCAGACAATTCCCATGACCACTTTCCTAAAAAGTTGCTGGGTTTTAATTCTTTGATTATTCTGCCTCCCCCTCCCCCAAGCACTCACTGGCAATGATCTCTTCAAGGGAGAAATAATGTACTATAAAGCTCTTTGCATGGTGAGTTTGGGATAAATTAGGGTACACCTTTCAAAACGCAAATCTTGCACGCACACATTTTTTTCCCAAAGCATCGCTTTCCTGGGAAGGGGACTATCCAGGCTTGCCAGACCCCCAACTCCACCCAGGGGGATGGCTGGTTCCTTGCTAATTCTTGCCTTAGGTTTTATCACTGGTTCCTTCAAACATCCACCTCCCACCCTCAACACACACCACCACTCACACCACAATCAGATTATTGAGGCACACAGCTCGACAGGGAGAGTTTACTGTTACATTTAAATAAATATATCTCTTCGAATTTGTCACCTCTCTCCCTTTTAGACGGCTGCGCTCCTGCTACTCTGGCCGGGAGCGAAGGATGAGGAGACCATCTCTCTGAGTATTTTCAGCACCACGGCGATGGACAGCACCCCAGGTCCCCTGCCGGCCCGGCGCCCGCGAGTCAGTCTGTTCAGCGTCCTGGGCTCGACCGGTGCATCCTTCCCCAACCCAATCTTTCAAGTCGCTGTACCCAAAAACCCAAGCCTCATCTCCTCCCCGATCTCCTCTCTCTTTCTCTTCATCGGCGCCCGCTGCTCTCTCCACAGCATCGTTCCTATCAGCACCTCGCCCAAAACCCAGCCTTGCCCCAGCGAACAGCTCCCCACGCACCCCAGCTCTGGTCTCCGCTGCCCGAGCGCCTCCCTCTACGGCGCCCGCCCGAGGCTTCCTCTGGCTCCGTCCGCCGCTCGTCTGTCGCCTGCCGGCCGGTCGGCCAGCCCGCCCGCTCCTGCTCCCCAGCAAAGTTGGGAGGGAAAGGTGCACTCACCTTTGTGCATGCCTGTGAACCTGTCCTTCAGAACCGTAAGCTCGTAGATTTTTCCAAACTCCTCGAAGAGGGGCTTGAGGTCCTTTTCATCCAGGTTGCGGGGGATCTGCCCAATGAACAGCTTGATGGCATCGTGGTCCTTCATGGGAATGGTCGACGGGTTCCCCGGGCTGTGGCTTAATCCGTTCATGTGCCCGGCACTGCCCGGGCTGCTGCCGAGCCCGTTGGTACTGAGGCTCGCGTTGTCAGCCTGTCCGTTTGCTAACGTGGCCATCTTTATATACATAGAGAAAAATCTTCTTTCCTTTTATTCTTTCTCGCTCGCACTCTCTCGCTCCTCTCGCTCGCTCGCGCTCACACACGCACACGCATACACACACTCGGGTTCTCTCCCCCTCGGTTTCTCTACACCTCGCTCTCCGCTCGCTCTCTGCTCTCTCTCTTTCTCCTCTTCTCTCGCTCGCTCGCGCTCGCGCTCTCTCTCTGCTCTCCCCCCCACCTCTCTCTCTCTCTCTCTCTCTCTCCTCTCTCTAGGTCTGATCTGATTTTTTTTTTTTTTTTTTTTTTTTTTTTTTTTTACATTGGACAGGATCTCTGTCCTTTCCGTTTAAACAGGCTGGACCGGTTCAAGTTCCCAGCCAGACCAGGGGTGGAGGCGGCGAGTGTGCGCGCGCGGAGGAGGGCGCGGGGGGCCGGGAATGGGCGCGCTGTGGGGGCCCGCGCCGCGGCGGGCGGCGGCCGGCGGCCGGGGGCAGGGCGGCGTGGGGCGGCGCCGGCCCCACCGCGCCTCCCCCGTCGGCGGCCCCGCGCGGTGGCGGTGGTACAGTCCAAGACTGCCCCCGGCTATAAATAGCGCCAGGCGCATGGCTCTTTGGGAGGCGCTGAGATTCCGGGCCCGGCGGCCGCGGGGAGCGGGTGTCTGCGAGGCGCTGGGCAGCCGGCCTCCTGTCTCTGCCTTTTGAGGGTTCTTTTTGTAATAGCAGCAGGTGCAACTTTTTGTATTTTAAAAACAGTGATTTTTATTTTCGTGTGGGTATGTAGGGGGGCGTTATCCACCAAGCTATGCTCTATTAGGGCGCCAGGCGGGCGAAGCAAAGGCAGGGATGGCGGGCGGGGCGGCGGCGGAGGTGGAATGGGCGCTTTTTTCTTCCATCTGGCTCCATTTATTTATTTATTTATTTATTTATTTATTTATTTAGACTAGAAAAGCGAGCCGGCTTGGAGTGAGTCCGCCCGGGAATCCGAGCGCACATTCATCAGTGTCGAGAGAAAAAAAAGCTACATAAATATATATTATGTGGATAAATCTGTAGACAAGAGCTCTCTCTCGCGCGCGCGCTCTCCCAGTCTCTCTGTGTGTGTCTCTTTCTCTGCTTTTTTCCTCCTCGCACCCTCAACCTGCCAGAGCAGCCCCACAGCACCCTCCCGCCCGGCATCTACCGCCACCAGAGCCACCTGCCAGGATGGGGCTGGGAGCGGTCGGGCCGCGGCGGGGGGCGGAGGGACTGGGAGTAGAGACTCGCGGTCCAACCCCCACCCCAGCCCGCCTCCGAAGGCGGAAGGTAGGGGTCTCGGTCCCGGGCAGCCTCCCCCGCCCGGGAGAGCGCGGCTGGTCCGCCGGCGACTGGCGGGAGGAAGGTAGGAGTCGGGCGCCCCAGCCCGCTCGCCCGCCGGAGGGGGAGGAAGGCGCTGGGCGCGGTGGCCGCTGAGCCAGCGCGGGGGACTGCTTGATGTTGCCCTCGTCTGCTTTACGGGTTCAAATAGAATAATTTTTAAAAAATCACCATCAAAAGAAAGCCCCGGAGTAGCTATCTGGGTTGCAGCCGGACCGAGACTCGCGCGGCGTGCGCTGCCCCCGCGGGTTTCGTTTTCGGCACCTACAGCTCCCGAGGTACGAGGCGGAGTCGCTCCTGCCGTGGGAAACCGGGGGTCCAGCCGCCCCGTCCGGACCCCGCCGGACTCCCTGCCAGGCCTCCTGGGGCTGGCACCTCGGCTGCGCGGGAGAGGGAGTGGCAGGCGCGGAGCCTGGAGCTGGGTCGGAGCAGCCCGGCGTCTGGGGGCGAATACTGGTGGTGAACTTGGCTAGGGTAGCATATTTTCACGTTAATGATGTTTACCTGCACGCCGTCCTCTCTCACGTTCGCTTTTTTCAGGGCAGCCTCTTCGCTTCAGAAGCCTGGCAAATTAAAATAACGCGCCCGCTCCCCCGCGGGCTGCGGGACTGGGAGCTGGGGCAGCGGGGCGGAGCGGCTGGCCTAAGCCCCGCAGGCCCTCGGCTACTTTCGGGTTTCAGGGTTTCTCTTTTCTTGCCCTCGGATTACATTACGTTACTAGAAGATATGTTTGCAATTTTAATTAAAGAAATGAGACCCCAGCTGTCTGAAAACCCAGGCCAAACCCATTTTGGTACAAGCACAATACGGAGCTCTCCAGCGCCGAAGGAGGCCCGGAGGCCCGAGGTTCGCAGCCCCAGGCCCCAGTCGGCTCAGAACGCCTCTCTCTGAGGATCCCGGGCCCAAACCAAAGAGCAAGTATGATTTTTAGAACTGTGGAACTTCTTCCTTTCATTTTAGCTTCTCCTGTCGTTGCTTGCTGGAATCGGATGTAAGTATAGTTAATTCGTCACTTGGTTTCCCTGGCTTACGTTATCCGGTATTATATGTTGGTCTAAGAATCGACCAAGTAGATGGACTCGAACAGAAACTCACATATAGAGCCTCTGCCATTTGGTGGTTGTGTATTTGGTGTGCCTGTGAAGTCCCCTCATAAAGGGGGCATGTCCCTGCTAAGCACTTGGAGAGTTTGTGTGTGTGGTTTGGCGGTGTGTACCTGCTTGTGTGGATGCAGCGTAGGTCTGTGCACAGACCCTGCGTGTATCCACACTGTGTGTGTGTGTGTGTGTGTGTGTGTGTGTGTGTGTGTCCCTACCAGGCTGAGACCTCCTCCTTTCAGTCCCCTAGGACACATCAGCAGAGGCTATTAACTGTCCAAGATATCTCCTCCAACATCATCCTGTGGTGCTGGTGCATGGCTCCAACAGCTGAGTGGCATGTATTTTCTGCCATCGGAGTTCAGGAGAGTAATTTCTGCTTGAGGTCTCTCTCTCTTTGCCCCCCAACTCCTGAAAGCAAAGCCCGGACAACGGAAAGGGAAGGGGGCCAGCTAAAGGCAGCTGGAAAAGAAGGGAACTGCTCAGGGGAGAGCCACTGAAGTTCACCATCCTCTTCCTGCCACCACCCCAGCCACCCCCAGGTCCAAGTAAATTATTCACAGGGGCTTAATTATTCATGTTATTAATAATAGCCAATACATAAATAAAAGCATTCCTTGGGCAGGAGTGAGTCAGGGAGTGGGCTTGCTGTTGAAAGGGGGCACGGACTGCTTTAGATGCTGTGAAGACTCCTCCATTCTGTGCAGTGCCAATTCCCTCCAGGACTGCTCCTCTGCCCTGTGCACCACGGCCCCTCTCGTGTCTCTCCACTCATGGACTCAAAGCTGTGGAGAGCTCCTTCTTCCTTAGAGATCCCCACTCTTTCCTCTCTCCCACCTGATGATGGCTTATTTTGGATTTGGGTTATCTCCCCTTAGCAGGTGGCACAGCCCTCACCTCTCATCTTTCTGGCAGGTATATGGTGAAATGTCCTCCCTCCCAGCTTCTGACCCAGGATGCTAAGTCCTGTCTAAATGAGCTACCCAGTGTAAACAGCAGAAGCAGCTTCTGTTGAGGCATCAGTCTTTTAAAGGTGTAGAGCTGGATCTTTTAGGCTCCTACCTTGCCTCCATAGCAGAGTTTTGGGGATAAAATAACAGGTGTCTCAGACTCATGCAATAAAAGAGCAGGACTGCTAAGAGAATAGTGTGAAACATGATTAGGTTAGCTCTTTGGTATCCTCACCCTTGATATTCTAGGAAGACTTGAGTTAAAAAAATTTTTTAACCTTAGATCATCAAAGAGAAATGTAATTAGAGAAAGATGGGGCAAAGTATTACTCACTGTGACATTTAAGCAGATTTAAAACTTTCTCTCCAAGTGCCACTTGACGGCCACAATTATTTCATTCTCAGAGAGAGGGAGAAGGCTGGCAAATGAAAGTGGAGCTGGAACAATTGCTTCTCGTTTTCTTTCTGGGTTTGGTGTTTACATTTTGTTGCTGATTCATCTTTGGGGGTGTTAGAAAGTCCTGTGGGGAATTAAGTTCAGGTGGGCTAGCTACTCAGGTCTTGCCAGTACCTCCTCTTCCCCCTCTTCCTTTTGTTTCTCCTCTCCTTCCTCAAGGAGGGGAGGGAGCCCTCTTTAAGCTCAACTTCCCTCCAGCTGAGCCACTGGTCACTCTCTCCTCTCTGACACTCAGTAAACCAGCAGCCCTGGCCACTGCTGTACAACCTCAGGCTTGCTTTGGCTCTTCTGCCTGTGAATCTTCTCTTTCCACCTAGATTGTGAGCTCGTGGAGGGCAAAGACCCAATAATCTGCCCTCTTCTCCTTCTCTGCAACTCCTTCTGGCAGTGATGGGCACACAGTAGGTGCTTAAGATGTAGTTGATAGACACTAATGGCTAATCTGACTTGGGGAGTGGTGTCAACACTATATTCAAGTGGGCTCTAAGGATGGGAAGCTGCAGGGCCCCAGGTGGACACTTTTAGAACAGGCATTTAGAAGACCCCCAGCAGTTCAGCTTCCTGGGGTCTGCACTGCTTGACTGCTTCACTCAGTCATTCTTACATTCATCCATTCTTTCTGATCTCCCTCTGGAAGCAGCTGAGAAAGGACAAACCTGCAAAGAACTCACTGTCTAGTTAGGCCAAAGTCATACCAAGTGAAAAGCCCCAGAACAGCAAACGGCAACAGATGGTTAAATGTCTTCCAGGCCTGAGGAGTTCCACATTGGAGAAAATAGAAAACAATCCAAGTTGCCTGTGATAATCTGTGAAGGGGTAGGAGCCTTAAGGAAAGAGGCAGTGAAGAAAGCAGGATGCAGAGGGAGCCAGATTGGTGGTGAGCTGGGCGATGCTGAGGATTTAAAACTAGAAGGGGAAAAAAGTGGGAAGGGTTCCAAGGTTATGTTGAGACCATGCTGAAAACAGCTGAGATCTACATTGGGCTCCTTAACAGACAAGACCTCCAATTAAACATCTCTGTGGAGCAACTGCTCTGCCCAGACCTGCAGAGGGCAGTGAGGGCAGGCTGCAGGAAGGGAGACTCCCCTGTGCTGTGCATAGTGCCCATGTGCTGTTTGGGAAAAGAAATGGACTCAAAGAGCTGAGTGACCACCAAGGGCATGATTCGACCGAGGGGCAGAGTGAAAGGAGCAGGCTGTGTGGGCCGTGGGCTTCCAGAGAAGGTGGAGCTTGTGTGGGCTGTGGCTCTCAGGGAAGGCCTTCTGGAGGAGAGGGCCCTGCTGGCCCTGTGGGAAGGGGTGTTGCAGCTCGGGAAGAAAGGAAAGAGGTGGCCTTTCAGGTTGAAGTGGTGTTTGGAGTTGCCAGGCCTGGAGTGAGTGATGGGCTCTGGATTCTTGCATGACAGCCGGCAAGAGCAGGCTCCCATGTGGTTATCAGTTTGACAGGCAAGATGGGGCTTTGCAGGCAGCCTCAGCAGTATGGTCTTCTCCACAAACCCAGGGCATCTCTGACCTGGAATACTTCAGGAAGGTTCAGTCATATAAAAAACAATAATTGG